GGTATTTATAAAATTAATCCTTCAGCTTCAACTATAAATACCCTAATTTATTTAGTTTCAAAATTATCTTAAATATTTTTTTCCAATATTAAAGATTTAGGGTTTGTCGGTGCGTCTCTATCAATTCTTGAATTCGAACTTCTTGTGATAAAATCTCCAACAGTTGTTCCGTGCCGATCACCAGCTTCACTTTCCAAAATCAACGATTGTCGTTGTTGTTGTACCTGGAGAAAACATCAGTATGTGACCTCTTTAAACTCCGAGAAATGACCGACGACGGCGGGACGTTTTCAGACTTGGATCGGACGTGGCTTTCTCGATCGATGTTGTCGTCCCCGTTACTCACACTGCTTCCATTTCCGTTGAGTGGAAGTAAGTAGTATGATTTCCCGGGAAGGAGTTCTTCATGGTGGAAAATCGGTTTACAAAACAGATCATTGCTTCGGAAATAGCATTTCCCGGGAATTCGTCCACGTTGTTTCGTGCTGATATGGAGCCGAAAACTCCATGATTCCGCCGTTGGATGTTACGACTTGGATCAGTCCATCGGCTTCTTCTTCTTCAAAGCCCCGAACAGGCAGTTTCCCATGTGTAAAAAGACAGAAAATAGTGTGCTTGTAGCCGTAGGAAGGTGGAGGTTTAAAGAAAGGGGAAAGACAATACAGTGTGTTATAGGTATTTGGCTATGAGTATCGAATATAAGCATATGTTTTAAGATTATAGTTTTATGTTCACGTTTGATTGTGTTGCACCTGCACTAAATCTTTCTGTAAATTGAGTCTCTTCTTCATCTATCAAAACTGTTACAGAACAAGTATTGTATCTTCTTTGAATTTTTTTGAAAGTCGCATCTTCAATGATTGAATTTTTTTGAGACTTTAGTGTTTGGATAGGCCATAATCTTTTAACATGATCTCTGATAGATTCACGTGGATCTGATAAAGTTAAATCTATTATCGGACAACTATATTTATTCGTCATGCTAATCTACAAGTAATCATGATGATCTTATATCTAACACTACCACTAAAGGTCACTATAAAACTTTTTGTACAATACTAATAACATACTCCTCTTTCTCTCTAAGTTAGAGACGAGTATCGTTATCGACACATTATTCTCCGTAAAACTATTGATTATGTCTCTCTGTTCAAAATTAGAAAGAATAAATTATGTACAACTAGAGATGACAATTTAATCAGAAATCGATGAATATCGACTCTATAAAATCAGATTTTTTTTAAAAAAAAATATGGTTCCAATTGGGTCAAATTTTATATAGGGGTGATGTCGAGTTGGTTGAATGGTGAAAAATCTCCGACACAACCGGATCCTTAATAATGTAATTTTTTTTCATAACAATTTATGGATAATTGTTATAATATCCCTCTATATCTTTTAGTTAGATCCTTATTTTATATCGAGTTGGGTCAGATCGGATTTATACTCTAAAAAATCAGATTGTATCAGATTTAAATAGAAAAAATATGTTATTTAGTTCATGTCAAATTGACCAAAAATCCGATCAATCCGATACATTATCATCTCTATCTATAACTACTTCAACCCACATGTTACCATCAACGATGCGTAAAACATATCTACAAAATACAGGTCCATGTCAAATAAGCCATGGTTAAATAGCGGTCTTTATTACTTTCTCATTTATACAAGATTGTGGGGAGGGTTCATTTATACTTCACATGTTCACATACTTAACATGTATTCATTCATCCGTACGTATAATTAAGGTTGTTCAAAAAACTAGATTCGGTTGATTTGGTCTGTCGATCTGTCAATCTGAACTTAACAAATTGAGTAATTTTTTTTAAAAAAAAATTATTCGATTGAGTTGGGTACCTGACCCATAATTTTCTCGGGTAGTTGGGTCGGGTCTGGGCTAGAATTTTAACGACCAGATTGTTTTAATATATATACATATATTTAATTTAAATTATTTTTTTATTTTAGGATCCTTAATATTTTTTATCTTAAAATTAAATTTAAATCCTTAAATTTTCTTAGGTTAATATTATATATTTTTAAGTTTTAAAATTTTCAAAAAAGTTTTTATTAAATTGCCAATATGAGATTTGAAAACAAAATCATGATCGATATTAATATTTTTAATGTTTTCTTTTGGAAATAAACTTTGATATATATATATATATATATCCAAATATTTATTCTTAAAACTAACTTCAAATCACTAATATTTTTGTTTCGATTGTGTATTTTGATTTTTGATTTTTTTAATGTATTTCCTATGTGATTTTTTTAAAAGAATTAAACTAATATATATATATATATATATATATATATATATATATAAATCAGATACTGGTGATCTAAAAATACAAATACTCAAATTTTATGGATATCCAAACTTAATGGACCAAATTACGAATTGACAAATTTACTATATAAAAAATCAAATACCTTATATTTTTGATACCAAAAAATATGAGTACCCGATAGGGTATAATATATCTAGAAACTAAAGCAATGAGTAAAGCCAATTCCAACCTAACCGCATAAGGACAATACGATTCTCTAACATAATATTATGTATCTCTATGCACTACGCGTGGAAGTGGAAATCAAGCAAAAATAAGGGTAAACTATATGTTTGGTAATTGAATTTTATTATTTCTCTTATTTTTTATCATACTTTCAATTTTTTAATTTAATCACTAAACTTTAAAGATTAAATTTTTTATCGCTTATTTGTTAAATAATTAATAACATTATGACATGACTGTATTTTAATCAAAGTGATGTTGTTTTATTCTAAAATTTATTTTTTTCCAAGAATTCAAAACGATATTATTTTGATATAAGTTGTCATGTTATAACGCCGTTTAATTATATAACGGCGGGTGACGAAATAAATTCATTTTATAAAGTTCAATGGATAAATTGAAAACATTGAAAGTACATAGAGTGAAATATGAGAGAGAGTAAAATTTTGTTTTTGGATAAATGAGAGAGAGAGAGTAAAGTTTAGTTACCAAACATATAGTTTTCTCTAAAAATAACGTCTAATTTAAAACGTGCAATAACCTTTTTATCCCCTTAACTTTAGCGGTTTAGTAATTACGACCCTTAAACTTCTATCGCATTCTTTTTAAACGTCATGCTTTTATTTTTATCAAATTGACCCAAATGTGATAAACAATAACATGATAACATCTTCAAACTGACATCAATTATTTTATTATTTTTTTCACATCATAATTTTTTTTAAAAATGAGCTAATTATCTTTACTAAAATGCTGATATTAATTTTCATTTACATTTTTTTAAAATTTTTTATAGTGTGAGAAGAAACGATAAAAAATAGTTTACGTCCACATTTCTATGATAATAAAATAATATAATTATTTCGTAATGTTTGAGTCAATTTAATACAAAATCAATCAACTCAAATTTTAATAAAAAATAAAGACTAAAATGATTAAACTAATAAAATTAATGAACAAAAAAGATTATTCTACCAACTTAAAATTCAACTTCGAGAAATTAAAACTAAATTAACATTCTTTAAAAATACAATTTTTAAAAAATTAGAGATATGTGAAAAAAATGAGTAATTTTATTTTTTTGGCAAAAACTAACACCTATATTTTTTTGGTATATTAAAATTTTAGGTTCCCTTAGTCCAGGGTCATAGCATACTTAAGACCCAATTGAGATTTATATAGGAATTTATAGATTGTCCACCAAGAGTGACAGTGGCAAGATCTAAAACTTTTAAATTTTAAAAGTTGAAAAACATTTTTAATCTAAATTAAAATGTAATTTTAGCGTGAAAAAGTACACTTATAGGGCGTTTGGTTCACGAAATATGTTATTACCTTTGAGAATATGATTCCCAAATTGTAACATTAGCTGATATGAGAATGTTATATTACATTAATTGGTTTGTTTTATAGGATTATAAGATTACAATATTTGGTTGAGTGAATATAAGATTATCTGAATACATATTTTATTATATTGTCTTTGTGGACATATTTTATTTTTAACAAGTTAAGCTTTTAATATCAAATTAAAAATAATTCCATAAAAAATCATAAAATTATTTTTATTACACCGTTTAAATTTTATAAAAAATCATACTTAACATATTAATATACTTAATATATTAAATGATCTTCAAATATAACCATATTTTCACAATGGAAAATGACACCGTAATATATATTATTTTAAATATATATAAAAAGTATAATGCTTGGTAGCTTGTTTTGTTTAAATTCTTTTATTATGAACGAACGTAAAATTTTATCTTAAGGGATAAATTTAAATTTACAAAATTTCAGGAGGATGAACTTAAATTTATAAAATTTTAGAGATGAAAACAGATTTTCAATATAAAATATATATAAAAATCTAAAATATATGGGTTCGTCCCTACTTCTACCCAACGTGTAAACTTTATGTATTCGAATATGCTTCAATATTTTGGTTTCTATCAGACAGGAGGAATAGAAAATTACTGAGAACAAACATAATTCTAAACAGGCATCCTAAAAATCAATTAACACAAAATATAAGGATAACCATTATATAATTTATTTAAAATATTAATAATATATGTATCATAAATATAAAATCAATAGTACCAAAAATTATATTTATTTTAATATAATATCAAATTGGTAATATTATTCTGGATAATAATCTTTTCCTTGAACCAAACATTTTCTATAATATTACATATAACTCTAAAATATTTAATTTTTATTATGAATGTATATTAGGTATAAATATAAAATAAATATTTTATGATAAAATAAATAAGTAAATATTTTAAAATTAATATAATATAAATAATTATATTATAAAATTAATAATATGTAAAATAGAATTCCCGCATAATCAATAAATATAAAATACTTGAAAATATAAATTATAGTATTATGAGGCGACAAATTGTGTACGAGAATTATTTGGATGGGCTATAAAAGGTTGAGGACAAATTTGTTGACAAAAAATAAAAAGACGCGTAATTTAAATTTAATTTGAGTTCCTCTTTCTCTTTCCCACTCGGCCTTTTTACCCGATCTGCTTGGTTAGGGTTCCATCGAATATTCCCAATTAACCTCTTAATTGTCTCTTCAGATTTCCCCTACATTCTCTCATTGACCCCATCGATCGATTATGGGCTCCGTTTCCGATCCAAGTCCGTTGAACTTTGAAGAACGGAGAATTTCATCGACCATGACGATTCAGGATTCTGGATTCATGATGGAGGACGGGGTAAGTTGTTTGCCGTGCACGCCCGAGGAGCAAAAGAGGATCGTTACTGAATTGAAAAACGAATCCGAGAGCAATTTGAAGGAAGGCAACTTGTATTTCGTTATTTCCAGCAGGTCCGTTTTAAATTTAATTTAAAGTTTCTTTTCTTTGCTTTTCTTGTAGTTCTTTGGGAAATCTATGAGGGGAATTTGTTTTATTTTGGAATATCCAATTTATTTGTCAATATTCAATTAAAATTAGGTTTAAATCCTACTTTTTTCAGGTGGTTTCGAAGGTGGGAGAGGTATGTTGGGGTAGATGCTGATAGAAATTTGAATCAGTCTTCTGATTCTCGACATTCAATTACGGCTTCTTCGAACATGGAAGAAATGCCCGGTCCTATTGATAACTCTGATATTGTTCAAAATGGGAGTGATGGCGTTTGCAAGGAAGATGATATACAGCTCCGCGGAATGTTGATGGAAGGGCAGGATTATGTTTTGGTGCCTCAAAAAGTTTGGGAAAAGCTTCATGAATGGTAATACTTCACCTCTGGCTATTTTCGCATTGATAAATAGTATGTATATTGTATATGCATTGATCACTTAGATGGTTTGCTGAGTTATTAAACAACTCGAAGATCAAGTGATATAGTTCTCTAGAAGTGTGTAAGCCATTCGGTATTTATTCAATGTTAATTGTGATTTAGTAGTTTATGTTAATAAACAGGTATTGTTAAAAAAATAATATGCACCATGCAGACACATTTTTTGCTCTGAAGATTTATGAATACTCCTTTACTGGTTAAAGCAATTAAATAAGCAACTTGCTTTTATGCAATGTGCCTGATGTACAGTAAAATAGCAGGTAAAATTTGTTTCTTTTTTTTATTTGTGTTGTAATATCACTTTAGGTATAAAGGCGGGCCAGCATTGCCGAGAAAGATGATTTTACAGGGTGTTTATCACAGAAATTTTGATGTTGAGGTTTACCCACTTTGTCTTAATTTGATCGATTCCAGGGATGAAAGCCAGTTAGCTATATGGTTAAGTAGAAAGGTATGGCTTTTAATCTGCCCAAGTTGAGGGATTTTCCAATTCTTTGTTTTATCTTGTTCAGCGAAATGGAAAGTAACAGTGATAAAAAAATTTAGCTAACACAAGCTTCAACTTTTGATGTGTGTTCATTTTAACTTTTGAAATCTATGATGAAACTGGAAATCATTTCAACTGCATCCAATTTCTAAAGTGATTTGGTATTTCCTTTAGGTTTCTGAGTTTTGCTTTCAAGTTTTTTATGTCCTTGAAAATTTTCATCTTTGTGGTAGACCATGCCGGTTCTAACATCACTTTCCCCTCACTTCTGTTCTTTTGGTTGGATTATGTTTTTAGGCCTCGGTAACTGAGCTTTTCCAGAGGGTCTGTGCACTCAGGGGAGTAGAGCAGGACAAGGTGAGAATATCTGTTTCATTTTCCTTTTAAACATGCATACTTAACTACAATTATTTTATAAGATTTGTATGCTTTAAGTCAACTTCAATTGCATGTTTTGGTTCATTATATATATATCTAGGTTCGCATTTGGGATTTCTTCAACAAGAGAAAGCATGCACAGTTGTTTGCTTCAAACAAAAGCCTAGAGGAATCAAATTTGCAGATGGACCAAGATGTGAGTACCTTTTTGTTTTCCCTTCACTATTTCCATTTCTATTTGGTTTTGATTTATCTGCATGTTTGATGAATCTTTACAGATTCTTTTGGAGCAACTTGATGGACATCAGTCTTCAAGATTTGGGATGGATTCTACAGGAAATGAACTAGCTTTGGTTTCTGTGGAACCTTCAAGATCGTCCTATACATTTGCTGGAGGGCCAGCATTGTCGAATGGTCACTCCTCTGGTTACAAATCAAATCTGTACCCAGGAGGCTCCATAGGCTTAGGATTAACAGATAGAAGTGATAGTTTTGATGCCTATAATTCTGTTAGAAAAGGAGAGACAAGGGGTTTGACTGGGTTGCAGAATCTAGGAAATACTTGTTTTATGAATAGTGCTCTTCAGTGTTTAGTGCACACACCGCCTCTTGTTGAGTATTTCTTGAAAGATTACAGTGATGAGATCAACACCCAAAATCCTTTGGGAATGCATGTAAGCTGTGGTGCTATCAACCATTGTTTTTGTAGTTTACTGTGAATTATACATTTGGACAATTTTGGCACCTTTTCTTGAGCACTTCACTAGATCTCTAACCTAAGTTGCTTGTGCAGGGTGAGCTGGCACTTGCTTTTGGTGAGTTATTACGGAAATTATGGTCCTCGGGACAAACATCAATTGCTCCACGTGTATTTAAGGGAAAACTTGCTCGATTTGCACCACAGTTCAGTGGTTATAACCAGCATGATTCTCAAGTAAGTACCATTTTTTATGAACTTTTGCAACATCAGCAATTGTTAACTTGTATAAATCAGTGGGCATTATTTTATTAGATGATGTTTTTTTCTGAAAAATAACAGATTGGATGCTTGGTTGGCTTATAATTATAATTTTGGCAATTTCAAAGTGCCCCTAGGAAGGCCTGTCAGTCAATGATTGTATGATTGTTTAGCAAAACGCTGTATGCTGTGAAATTTCTGGTGGTGGTACATCACGCAGGACAAGAGATATTTTAGCCATCACTACTTTTATTGTAGTGTAATGCATGTTTAAAGCCATCCTAAGCTTTAGTTTGATATGACTTTTTATTCTAAAGGCTTGGTGCAAAACTTTTGCATTATACTTTAAAAGCATCTTAGGAATAGCTTCAAATGTTGTTTAAATGGTATAATAGTTATCACTTTTAATGGGTACATCTATTTTGATGAGATTTATGCTTTTTTCTAAATGGAGTATCTTTTCTTTAGGAACTTTTGGCTTTCTTACTGGATGGGCTGCATGAAGACTTGAATCGTGTCAAACAAAAACCTTATATTGAAATGAAGGATGCTGACAATCGTCCTGATGAGGAAGTTGCAGCCGAGTCTTGGAAAAATCACAAGGCCCGAAATGACTCGGTTATTGTGGATGTTTGTCAAGTGAGAATTTTTCTTATTGATTTGCATGTTTTGATTTAGAGCTGCATATTGTAGTCAATCTTAAAGTTATGACAGAAACTTATTCATGTCAGGGTTTTATTGCATGGAAAATATAATACTTATTAACAGTTGTTGTCAATGCCATTTTAAGCAGATTGAAAACCGACTCCAGTTTTTAGCATTATTAGGATTGGCTTTTGTTTGTGTTCTTTGAGATTTGGTCATTTCAGTCTATAGGTGCCTACTGCCTAGTTGTTTGCAGTACTTCCTTGTCTATTTGATTTTTCTCATCTTTTATGTCAGTATGCAGTGCTTCAAGTTTCTGAGCATGGAAATGTAAGACAATTTTCTCCCATGCTACTAACAATTGGGATATTTTTTATAATGCTCTTGCTTTTCAGGGCCAATATAAGTCGACACTGGTTTGCCCAGTTTGCAGCAAAATTTCAATTACTTTTGACCCCTTCATGTATCTATCATTGCCACTACCTTCCACTGTCACTAGGACAATGGTAGTGACAGTGTTTTATGGTGATGGAAGTGGTCTCCCAATGTCATATACTGTCTCTGTGCTGAAAAATGGTTTCTGCAAAGATCTCCTACTGGCTTTGCGTACTGCTTGTTGCTTGAAGACTGATGAGAACCTTCTGCTTGCGGAGGTAAACGTTTCTTGATTATGTTCTTACTTCCATTTTAACTGTTTCAGTTATAAGTTACCTTGATTGCTTGATTTGTTCAATATTCTATATCAGGTTTATGAAAACAAGATTTACCGATTTTTGGAGGTGCCCTTGGAGCCATTGGTTTCGATAAAAGACGATGAACATATTGTGGCCTTCCGGTATCAGAAAAAGGGGATGGAGAAAACTAAGCTAGTAATTTTTCATCGATGGCATGAAAAGTAAGTTTACTTCTCTCTAGCTATTGGATTCTCTCAAGCAAATTTTGTTGTTTTAATTTGATTTATTACCATCTTTAGGCTTTTTGGTATTTTAGAAACCAAGGGATCCATAGTTTCTTCTATCATTGCCATTGTCTGGTTATTATCATCTGTGTCATGCAGTTCATCCATTGACTGTATTTATTTAATAAGCTTGGTGAGAGAGGGGGGGATGAATTTATTGATTAAATAAGCTGTTTTCTTCTTTTATTAAGATTTTGAACTAAAATACTATGCTTTCCAGATCCAAATCAGATTATCTTAAAAGTGGAAAGGAGCTTTTCGGAACTCCACTGATTACTTATTTGGAAGGAGATCAAATAAGTGGAGCTGATATCGAAACAGCTGTTTCTAAACTATTGTCACCTTTCAAAAGAATGTGTTCTTCAGATAAGTTTCATATTGGTAAAGATAATGACTTCCTCTCAGATGGTCTCAATGAAACATGCAGCAGTTCTGTAGCTCACTCAGTCGAAAATGCAGAATTTGAGGGTACATCGAACATGGACTTATCACTCTGGCTCCATTTAACAGATGACAGGGTAATGACCTTCAAGCCTCTTAAGAAGGATACCCTCTTTGAATCTGGGAAAATCTTAAGGGTTGTGTTGTATTGGACTGACAAAGAACAGGAGCTCTATGATTCCAACTACTTGAAAGACCTCCCTGAAGTTCATAAAGCAGAGTTTACTGCAAAAAAGACCCGGCAGGAAGCCATCTCTCTATCTTCATGTTTAGACGCTTTCTTGGTGGAAGAACCACTTGGGCCTGATGACATGTGGTAAGTGATGAAAACATGTTTAAATGGATTTCATATAACAAAGTTGTGGATTGTCTCGTAAACAGTATTGATGCCTTAATGATGTGACCAAAACGATGGATGCAGGTATTGTCCTCGATGCAAGGAACATAGGCAAGCTATAAAGAAGCTAGACTTGTGGAAGCTACCAGAGATTATTGTTTTTCACTTGAAACGCTTCACTTACGGACGATACCTAAAGAACAAGATTGACACTTTTGTGAATTTCCCTATTCACAATCTTGATTTGAGTAAATATGTCTTGAACAAAGATGGACTGTCTTATATATATGAGCTATATGCCATCAGCAACCACTATGGTGGACTAGGTGGTGGCCACTACACTGCATATGCTAAGGTAAAGTCGTCTCGTATGGATAATACTTATGCAGCATGCATCTTACTCTTAATTTCAAATTTGCGACTTCCTCTATATCATGGATGATTTAATGGTACTTAGCATTGGCTTCCATACGAGTTACTGATTCGAATGATATGTCTGAAGAGTTTTTTTATTTTATTTTGCACTTTCACAGTTGGTTGAAGAAAATAGCTGGTATCATTTTGATGATAGTCATGTTTCTCCCGTCAACGAATCTGACATTACGACTTCAGCTGCTTATCTCTTGTTCTACAAGAGAGTTGGAAGTGAAACCAAGATGGAGACGGAAGAGTCATCGCATAGTCGGCCTGTCTCTTAATTACCTAGTTGAGAGAGCATTCTGCAATACTTTTTTGCTTTTTTGGAGCTACTTCCATTTGAGGTTATGCTGCAGGCAGTACATTGGCCGAGCAAGCCGACCACCGGTCCCTCGTTTTATGGAAAGATAAACTCACACCGAAAGGATGGCGAAATCCAGGGTAGGGGGAAATATCAGTTCCAAATATATTGTTCATTTTGAAGGAAATTTTGGGGATAGTAGGGGCCAGCAAGTTTTGGTAATAGGGGCCTTAAATATGTATTATGAGCTCTGGTGATGACAGCCATCTATTATTATTTGTTTCCCTTTCTCTTCGTTCATACAGAAATATACTCGGATGATTAATTCTTAAAGTTTAACCTATTCAAATGGTATAAGAATCGAATTAGCACTGTTAGTTCCATATTCTCATCTGAATTGACTCCACGCCATTTATTTGAAGTTAGGGATGGTAATGGGTCGAGTCTGGTTGGATTTTTGCCTGACTCAACCCGTGGAGTATATCCGATTTATCTTGACTTGATTTGAGAAATATATGTTCTTTATCTAAACCCGATCTGCGATTTAAGTATATCCCTTGAAAACAATTATAAAAGATCGTTATAGTAATTATTCTTAAATTTATAAAAAAATATTATTATATTGGGCTGAATCAGAGATTTTTCTCCTTAAATTTATACCCAGCTCTACGCTATTTGTCTACAAATCTAATATGTTTGGAATTCGTGATCATCCCCTTATACGAGTTAAAAAAAATAATCTGTTTTAACATAAACAAAAATTGGTATTTATTAGAAAAGTTAAAAATAATACCCACTTAAAATAAGTATTATATATTTCTTTACCGTGAGTGGGTAAATATAACATGATGAAATTAATTTATTACTAAATATACTCGAATATGAATTAAAGATAATACATCTACTGAAAAGCACCTGAATCAAAAGCTGAATTCGTATATTTACTTCGTAAAAACCACATAGACGGATACATGCATCAGAATTGATTCTCCAATGGTCTTGAAAAAACATTAATAACACCATTAGACTACTATCACTACAGTATACTATCCTGTATACAATTCTTTTAACACTACGAGTTTTCAACCTCAAAAAATAGCTTCTTACTGTATAGTGCAGAACAGGGGAGTTAGTTCCACCATTGTAGCTAATCGCCGTCGACGGTCGATGGACGATGCAACTCATTTTTGCTTGCGGACGTCGATTATGGAACTCAAAGAACTATTAGATTCCACCCATGCTCAGGGAGTCGCAATGTTTTCTTTAGCAAGTGGAGTAATCTCCTCTCCTTCAATGCCCGGTTCACTCTCGGCAACCTCTAAGCTCAACAGCATCTTCTCCCACAACTTTGATGGTCCCTGCATAAATCAAACATGTTTCGATTTAAAAACACGTTTTACTCGAACTCGGGTTTAAGTATTAGGTACGAACATATTAGGATATAAGCATTAAGACACAAATACTTCAGAACAAATGAAGAGTTGGAGCAATATAGAAACGAACCTTCCATGAAAGATCCTGTGCCATACAATTCTGGATCATTTCTCTCATGGCTCCAGTGCCGTATACAGAAAGAGCTCTCTTGACACCTTTTACCACCTTATCTACATCACTTGGATCCACTGTATCACACTGCAAAAACATATTCCATAGATACGAGTGGTCAAAATCTAAATTTGCACTTTCCGCAAAGACAATCCATTTCTTACTACTTACTTCGACGTTGAAGGCTCCCATATGAAACCCTGTGAATCCTTCCTTGATTGTGTCGACAAGACCACCGGTAGAGGCCACTATTGGCAACTGTAGACACAAAAGAAAACCGATTATGGAAGTTCATGAGTAGAGTCGAATTGGTTGGTTGCATAAAAAGGTAAGGCTAAAAGGATTTACAGTTCCGTATCGCATAGCCTGCAGCTGAATGAGACCACAAGGTTCAAATCTACTTGGGACCAAAAGGTAATCAGCACCGGCGAAAATCATATGGGCCAATGGGACATTAAATTTGGCGACTCCGATAGCTTTTCCAGGATATTGGATCTCTAGCTGTTCAAGCTGCTTCTCCATTGCCTTTTTACCAGTTCCCTGAAAAGAAAATTAGTTCTGTTATTAAAATGCTATGCTCATTGAAGCAACAGTAACATGTGTTACTCGGATTCGGGTGTGATGGCCAGATACAAGTATTCAACCAAAACAGGTATGTCTACTTTTTTCTTTCCCTAAATTTTTCCGTGTACATGGAGAGACATAGTTCCATACCCATGTCCAAATGGGTCGGACAGTGATAAAGAACAATGAGTCGGAGAGGTAAAAAGAAGGAACCATATTGAATTTGATACTAACAAGGACAACAATCTGGCAATTTTCTCCAATGAATCTCGGAAGAGCTGCTACCAAAATGTCTGAACCTTTTTGCTCTTCAAGCCTACCAATAAAGCCAATCAATGGAATATCCCTGTCAACAGGCAACCCAAGTTCTGCTTGAAGAGCTTCCTTTAATAATGCCTTCGCAGCAGTTACCTGCAACCGAACTTATCGATATTAAAAAATGTGCATTTCTAATACCACAAAAGAAACCCAGAAACTGGAAGTTGTAGAAAGCACACTTACAGTTGTAGCATCGTATTTGACACTGATGTATTTGTCAGTGGCAGGGTCCCATTCTTGAACGTCCATGCCATTCACAATTCCAGTGATGCCAGTTTTACGAATGATGCTATCGAGTTCGACACCTTTATCTTCACCAGAAACAAGCTCCTGGGCATAGTATGGACTTACAGTCAAGACCCTGTCTGATTCCAAAATTCCAGCCTTCATCCAATTGATTTTCCTTCCCTTGACAGGTTTAGTGTACCTGACAATCGAAACTGTTTAAAGTCCATGATAAAAAATAATTCGAAGAAACTATATGAACCATAAATATCAAAAGAAGAAAATATTGCTTTTGTTGATACCCATCAATGAAGTCGAAGGAACTCTTGAATTGATCAGGCAAATTGAGAAGTGTGAAATCTGCAAAGGCAAATCTTCCCTGATAGGCTATATTGTGGATGCAAAAGGCAACCTGCAATATTCATTTTTCGTACACACCGTTAAGTTCTAAGCTTCAGCATGTCCAAATTTTCCGATTTCACTTTGAAAAGAGGTCGTCGTACCTTGGCATGCATATAGATGCCCCTTGATTGATACATGCTTTTCAAATAGCATGGAAGAAGAGCGGTGTGCCAATCATTGGCAACGAAGACAACATTTTCTCCTGCAGAAGATGGTGAACCATTATTTCATGAAACTAGAGTTTTAATTTTAAAGGTTAAGTCTTAAAGAAGAAGAGCCCATACCGTACGGTCCTGAGAAATATTTGTTGCTATTTAAATCTAGAACTCTTGGTGCCTCCAAAGCAGCCTGAAAATGATGAAATTTATGCAAATTGAGCTTGATTGATATCATGAACCGTAATTCGATGCAAAGGAGGCCTCAGCCTGTGGTTATGCGAAGATGTTTAAAAATGATGAGATTCAAACCGCAAAGGTGACTGCTTTAACTAATTAAGCTAAGGATCAGGTTCATACTATGATCAGAATTTGAAAGAGTTGATATTAAACTTTAGAGATTTTACCAGACACAACAAGCTGAATCGCAATTGGTTGTCCTTGTAGTCCGTACCAGCCTTAGGGCCATAGATTTTCGATCCTGTTTTGCCCCATACCTGAATCATGAAGCAAAATTATTGGAAATAACATAACCAATTCAATCTTTGATAAAGAAATAACAGTGTCAAACCTTCTCGAGGAACATAGGGTGATCGACAAAGACTCGGTCGACTCCACGTTTGTAGCAGTGAAAAAATCGAACAGTCACGGTTGTGTCCCCACCTTTCAGCTGCATATTAGTAACTGATGTTCAATAACACAATCCAAACCCATAATAACTCACTTCAAACTTACTTTGAACTTATTTTACCTCAACTAAGACACAGGTGTCCCATGCATCCTTGTACTGGTCGTACCGAGGAGACACGGTCATAACACGATGTCCTTTAGCCTAATCAATGTTCAATCAAGGGGGAATATCATCAAACACTTAACAGAAAAGATGTAAACCAAACAATTAAACATTGCAAATCCGATACTTACAGCCATTGCAGGAGGAAGACCACCAAGAACATCCCCAAGTCCACCAGTTTTGCTCCAAGGACCAACCTCAGCTCCCACAAAGACAATATTCATCCCTGTTCCACAAACAATTGTTCCAGAAAGCTTGTTGCTTGCGTTTGGGTGAGCTTCTTTCACTGCACTGGTCCTCATCTTCAACCTGTGTAGTGAGTTCAAAGACCTCAAACCATTGTGAGTCACGAGTTGTTGTTGATTCCTCAACCCAATCTGACTCAGATTGGCCTTGGTTTCTCCTCCATGGGAAGTTATCGAAACAAAGTGAGAAGCAGCCACTGTCGCCATTGATTTGGGTAATCTTCAAGCTGTGAGAATCAACCAAATGATTCAAACCCAAGTTCCAAAAACCACTAAATTAAATAAAGAAAACATAACGAAAACTCAAACAATTTAACTCACCAGAACACTTGAAAGAATCCCAGAAAATGTATTGGGGACTTTGAAGTTGGTCAAATGAATTCGCGCAGGGAGCAGCCAATTTGTAAGAGAATCCATGGCTGAGCTGCAATTACACGTGGCGTCACGATAATGGTTAAATATCCTCCCATTGTATATGAGCCTCAAGATCGTATTTCGCACGTGTAAAGTGGGCCCTGTAGCACTGTACTAAGAATCAGGAATATGCCGGGAACGAGCGGTCTTTAACTTATCAAAATTCCCGTCTTTGAAATGCGAGCTTAAATAAATAGTTAAATACATACTTTTTGTACTCAAATTTGATTGTTTTTGGTACCGAGTTTTTTTTTTATTTCAATTAGGTACTTAAACTCATATTTTGTTTTGCAGATTACCCAAAGTGTAACTTCATTAAAAAATATAATTAACAAAATTCTGATTTACCATCAATAGAACTATCCATGTATCGGGATAGAGATTTAAAACTTGATTTAACCGATGGTATTATTTAAACAGTTAAATGATTTAATTAATAAAATTTAAAAATATATATGTGGTTTTTTAAAATACTTCTATAATTAAGTGATTATAAGTGTAATTTACTCATTTATTTATCAGCCCTAAAACCAAGAAAATACTGTTTTTTAATAAATTTTAAAATTAAAAACAACAAGGTGGATATTTTTTAATAAATACAATATATATAAAACTAAACAAATATTCGTTTTTCAGTACTCATGTTTGTTTTGATTTAGGAACTTTTTTTGTGAAACAGCATGGCATGTGCAGGAGTGAGTGGTTGGAAATTTGCTGTGTTGAGCAGATATTTTGTGTTTGCCGCCATTCCATCTATGGACACAATTCAATCAACTTTCATAGAAAATCAGACATACTGGTCATATATTTTTGGGTAAATTACAAATTTAGTACTATATTATCAATTGTAGTCTAGTTTAGTACCTAAACTTTCAATGTTTTCAAAACCGTACATAATATTTAGTTTTTAGTTCGTTATATTACTCGTCGTTGAAAATTTAATGCGTTTAGTACCTAAAATATTATACATAATCTGTTTTAGTGCCTAAACTTTTATTTTTTTTCAAAACTTGATTGAACAGGAGTACTAAAATGAAACAAAAACTTAACTTTAGGTATGATTTTAAAAAAAAATTAAAAGTTTAAATATTAAAATGGATCAAAACTAATAATTTAAGTACTAAATACTTAGTTTACCCATTTTTTTGGAATGGATAGCATGATGGGTTTTGTTTTAGGAATACTTTTTGGTACGTTTATCGGAATAATTTTAGGTTTAATAGATAATTTGATCTTAAATCATGGACCCATTTTTGTTTTCACAAAGTTCTTAATTCAATAGTTGAAAGAGCATTATCCTAAGCAATAGTTTGATTCAAGGCTCTTTCATACATTTGGGTATGGAAAAGTCAATTTAAAAAGGGGGAAATGGAAACGAACTAGTGGGCTCTTTTCTATTAAAAAAACCCTAAAAATTTACTTATAGATTTAATATTTTTAGCCGGTTATTTACTTTTGATAAAGAGGGCATAGAGAATCTGCACATTCTAATCTCGTAGTCATTTTCAAACATTTTGATCAGTGTATGAAAGTCGGTGGTTTGATGTTTATTTTTATTCACATTTGAATCACTACGTTTATAGAAGTTATATATATCATTAATTATTAAATTATTTTTTGATTAAATATTATTTTACAATCATTTTAAATTATTTAAATTTAAAAGATAGGGCGACAGAATGTGGAGCAACAGTTATTATTTTTATCTCGAACCGAAAATTTCATGAATATGAAAACAGATCAAAAGGAACGAACTCTCATGAGTCATGGCTCGAGTTTTCTTAATAGATCAATACGAAATCTGTATATCAAGTTGAATATCCGCTCAAATCTGAATCTAATTTCGCTAAAAATTATTGATTAATATTCAAATCCTTTTAAAAACAAATATATTCTTCATTCTCTAATTTAAATAATATACTATAATTATTCAAACATAAGTAATACTAATTCAAATGATAAATATCCTATAATGATTATCCATATCCACCTTAAATTCATAATACTTTTTTGATTAATTAAATTCATAAAAATAATCAAATCGTGGTGCAAATTCTTCCCGTTCCGATACCGTTAAACTACTCAACGCACCGTTCATTGTCCCCTACATAATCGACATACAATCTCAAAATCTAAGAAATTCATAACAGGTCTATTGAATTAATTGATTTTTAAGAAAATATTAATCCACAACTTATATGAAACAGAAACATTAACAAATTAAAGGTAAGATTAATAGATCCTGATCTAATAGAAATTAATAGGAAAAAAAGATTAGAAAAATTCAGATCTAGAAACAATAGATTGAAGCAGGCAAAATTTCAGATTGAAATCTATTGAACTCATCGGCGATTGAAAAGGAAATTAGATAAACATTGAATCAGATTTTCCTTTAATGAAACTGAATAATTCCTTATTGGAAGAGGTAAGAGGAAACGAAGCATTACGGATTCCGGCGGAGGAAGATGACGAGAGAGCCGCGACAAGAGGTCCAGATCCCTTCATTTTTCCGGTATTCCTTTCTATTCCGGCGATTGAAAATTTAGAGAATAAGAGAGAGTTTCCGAAATTCAGAAGAAAAATGGACGGAATCCGACGACACTTAGCCGGATCCCTCCCACCTCTTCTCTCCGTTTTCCGTCAACTCTCCCTATCTGAATTATTTCATCTTCCCTTGGCCTTTTTATACTAATTTTTCCTGGATTCCCCAATTAAGTACAGTTTTAATATTTAAATATCTAGAATAAATTTGTGTTTCCTTCTGTGCTACGTCGAGTCCAGGGTATCCCGGATCTCTCTTTAGGAAGAGACCACGTGTACTTAATCCCCTTTAAAAACGTCATAAGTAATTAAATAATATTTATTTTTAATAGTTATTAGTCATGATAAAACCATTTTTTCTTTGAATTGTAACATGTTAAAATATTTTATTTTAATTTAATCGAATGAAAATGATCATAAATTCATTAACATTTAAAGTAAAAAAAAATACTATAAAAATAAAATTATTTTTTCCTTTTATAAGAATATTTAGAAAAATACCCCAAACACATTTAATTGATCTTAAATAATAAAATATTAAATTAAATAAATTTTAAATATAAATTACGCGTTGTCTAAACATGATCTTTTAACATGTAATTATTCAATAAGTGAAGACAATATATTCTCATGCGTAATATATTATAATTACATGACTTGCATGTTCTTCTATCTTGTTGAGTAAAATTTATTTAATTTTTTTATTACTTATTTTTCATTTTAATCATAACAGTCCATCTATCTGATCGATTCTATTTTACCGGATTCTATGTCTCCTGTATGGCACAAAATATTACGATAAACTAATATAATTGCCGTACTCCGATCATTTTAATAGCAGGAAAGTGAGAAGATTCATCCAGAACAATCTCACTTCATTGCAATGGCAATCTGCTTCTGCTGGACAAAACTATTTGGGATTATAACCTTCTTCCGATTTTTGCAAACCTCCGGGCTACTCCGAATATAACAGCTTTGGTCAAGAGCCCTCGATCGAGAACACATGCGACTGCGATGGCCCCACCAACAACTACAAGTTTAGGAATGCTGTTCTTCCCCGAAGGCTTCTCCGATGAATTATTCGTTTCTAGCTCCAGTGAATTGTTATCGTGGCTTTCCAAGAATATCAGATAGTCTGTGGTTACTTCAGTGTTTATATGAGCCATGGAAGCACAATGAGATAGGGACGCTCCGGATGCTTTTTCCTTCTGATATTCACGTAAGCCAGGGTCGATTCTCCTGACCGTTCCCCACATGCCTAGCTTGACCCCGAGCTTTGCAATTTCCCATGGTATACCCATATTTTCGTGATGAAAAAGTAACACCTCACACGCACTCAGCCGACCGTCTCCGTTCCTTGATTCAACTGTTTGACAGATAGTATGTACAAGTTATTTACGGGCTTATATTAACTTAACACGATATGCCTAGGAAATCCATCCAAAGGAAGATTTAGAAATGATGTTTTCAGAAAATACAAGTCTCAAACCTTCTAACAGCACAGGAAAATAATGAAAAACAATTTCAGACTAAACGTCAGGACAAATGGTCCATTACCTGCACGAATGCGCCAACTTGAAAAGTACAAATCAACTCGCCTAGGTTTGTTTTTTCTAGGAACAGAGGGATATGGTACTCCCTGAAACGGCACAAAACATGCTAAGAATTTAGCTTATGCACTTCAAAAACTAGACAACAAATTGGCCAAAATGTTAGTCATGGCATGAAGTATTACAAACTCAAGTGAAATGAACCATAGAGTTCATAAATAAAAGTCGATTAAGCCAAGCAATTATCAGATTAACTCAAAGCTTAGGAAACAATCTCACAATTTCTTATTAGCTTAAAGAGATACTATTCCCACTAATATTTGATCTAAATATCGGTTGCAACCGAGTTATTTCTCAACTATTATATAGGGAAAATAGGAGAGACTTTTAACGCTGAAAACCGGGGAATGTAATTTACCTTTGTAACACAGTAATATGTCCGCCCAGACGCCCAAATCCGACGACCTATCAGGTATTCTCTGTCACTGCAGAAGAAGGGAAACTGCAAACCAAAGAACAGGTCATTAAACAATGTTACAAACAATGAAACCCAACCAAAAAGAAACTATTAGAAGCTTTTTACCAACCTTGCGAGCCCAATGGACAACCATAGTCCCATCAGTGGTAGAAGACCCCAGAGTTTCAGCACTGAGAAGCATTTCATCCCACTTTGATTTCGCTCGGAATTCATCATCCCAAAAGAAATCCCTCACCATCTCAGGAGTGGCGTCATCGAAAACAGTCCGGCTACGATATTGCGTAGGACCAGTCTAAGGAACGATAAAAACATATAATTCAACACACCAATCGAATTCCAAACAGGTAAGAATATATTAAACATAAAAGAGGGAAAATACATACATCAAGATCTCTTTGCCAAGCCTGATACGCCATAGTCGGAGTCGACTTATCCATCATATGAATCCAAGCAGGACCTCC